AAGTCAACCGAGACCAATTTTGGTGGTGTGTTATCCAGCTGTAGCCTCCCACTCGTCCAGCATGGGCTGGCCTCTTCCAGTCTAATGATAGTCGGGCCCCATGTCGAGTTTGGTCGACTTCTGCTTCACTGCAGACCTTGTTCTTCCAGCTCAGGCAGTCGAGGCAGTGCAGATCCCAGCCCTGAGTGGTCTGGTGGTACTCTGACCTTGTGTTTTCAAGTCAAATGATCTAAGTGTGAGTGAAAATAACGTGAGAGAGAAGGTGCAGTGGCTCAGAGACAAATTAATGGAGCAGGACCATGTAGGGAAGGGCTGAGTTCTCCTTAGCTGTAGGTAACCATGGGGAGAGCATCAGCCCGGCTGTGGGACTGGGAGAGAAGTCCCCATCAGATGTGACAAGGCAAAGCAGAGCCTCTATGCATATACATGACCTGTAATGAGTGTGATCCATCCTGTGATAAACCTGGGCTGAGATCTGGGCACATCTCGGTACTTGGCAGCACGCACTTCTCAAGATGTTTTATGCTCTGTGATCAAAACACCCAGCAAGCTCCCTAGGAGCTTCAGGAAATGAAGCCCTTTCCAGGTACTGCAGCTGGGGCCTCTCTCTACCCTGAGGTGAGATAATAAGAGTAGGGAAGTTGCAGCACAGTTCCCAACATTTCAAGAGGAGAAAATCTGGAGAGCTCAGAGACAGTGCTGGTTTGCATCCAGAGCTGGATATAAGCAGAGCTGGGTTGGTTTGGTTTTGGGTGTTTTTTAATTATTTGAGGGAGAAGAATGTTCCCTCCCCCTCAAAATGTAGTCCTTGCCTTCTAGTTCCTGCTTTATTGGTTATTGAATACTCTGCCTACAAATGACCAGGAAAATTCCTTGACATTATTGTTCAGTGCAAAAAAACCGCTTAGAAAATCCCTGAAAATGTACATTGCTCCCGTCCCACAGCAAGAAATTGCCTGTGCTTGAGTAATTATAGCTGATTACATGAGCGTACCAGGCACCTGCAGGATCTATCAAGCCAAGGGTTTTCTCTTTAAAAAATGAAGTTGTTCTTTTACTAACTGAGGAAATTCTAAATGCAAAGACTGAAACTGAGCAAAAATAAATTGCCTTTTCCAGGCACAGTTAGGCAGCTTCATTCCCCTGAGCTATTGGTGCACCACCTTTTGTCAGCAGAGGGTTGACTAAAAGCTGTGTGTTGTGCAAGCGACCGTACTTGTGGAAGATGTTCTTGGGAGCTGGGCATCCAAGGTTGGGTCCTCACGTTAGCTATGGCAGCAGGTTGTGACTCCAAGTGGGGGACTCCTTTTGGGGGTCGTTTTGGTGAATGTATGAACCCACAGGGTCTTCCTAGGCTTGGGAGGACTCCTTTGCCATCGCCCGTTTCCAAGGGAAGACTGTGGTGGTGCAGAGGGTGTCAGGAGGAGCGCAAGGGACTTCCCTGAGGCTGTCCTGGTGTCCTAGGGAGGCTGCTGGGCAGCACCGAGGAGGTGAAGAGCCGTCTCCTGTCTTGTAACCGCTTGTCACTGTTGCTGTCTTTATCCAGGCCCAGCAGCACATCACGACTGAGCGCACAGGGAGTCACCGGAGGCAGCAAGCCTACATCACTCCAACAATAGCTCAGG